TGTGTTGTAAAGTAGTCACCGCCCCAAGCTCAGTCCCGGGATGGACTACAATCCCAATACAAATTAGTAACTAATTAGACAGGAACTAGTGTGAACTCTCTCCAGCGGGGTCAGAGAGATCAAGAAAAATCTGGTGCTAATACTTGCCCACTTCATCTTTTTTTTATATAAGGCTGCGTTATATAATAAACTCTGGGGACAGAAACTTTCATAAACATATTCATTAGCCACAAAGGATATAAACCCGCTTTGTGTGCGCCAAATGCCTTTACAATCCCAGATATTATGTTGTAAACATTGTAGTGACATCATCACTGTGCTGCACATAGCCTGTGCAGAGAGCTGAGCTGTGGGAGGGACCCAGCAAAGCCCCACACATTACAGGCTTCGTGTAAAAATCTGCAGGGGGGGACAAGACCAGTCACCCTGCTGAAGGAGAGAGCAGCAGTGACCTGTCTTTATTACAGGAGGGGCAGAGACAAGACCAGTCACCCTGCACAAGGAGAGCAGCAATGACTGGTCTGTAGCACAGGAGGGGGCAGAGAGAAGACCAGTCACCCTGCACAAGGAGAGCAGCAATGACTGGTCTGTAGCACAGGAGGGGGCAGAGAGAAGACCAGTCCCCCTGCACAAGGAGAGCAGCAATGACTGGTCTGTAGCACAGGAGGGGGCAGAGAGAAGACCAGTCCCCCTGCACAAGGAGAGCAGCAATGACTGGTCTGTAGCACAGGAGGGGGCAGAGAGAAGACCAGTCCCCCTGCACAAGGAGAGCAGCAATGACTGGTCTGTAGCACAGGAGGGGGCAGAGAGAAGACCAGTCCCCCTGCACAAGGAGAGAGAGCAGCAGTGACCGGTCTTTATTACAGGAAGCTCCAAGCATCACACTGGATCTCTGCACAGATCTGGAAGAAATACGCAAAGCTCACCAATGAAGAATACACATGATTCTTGTATGAGGACAATATTTGCTGATCCCGGAGTCCAGCTTCAAGAAGTCTAGTAGCAGTCTGCTATAGCGGAATGCGTTAGACACAAATGATGTGGCACAGGATATGTAAAGCGTAGTCTCAGGATTTATAGATTTGTTCCCAGAAAAGTTTGCTCAGATAAAAGCCACAGATTCTACATTGTACGGTGTAGGTGATGTCTATCATGTCTGAGGACAGGACAAGCCGGGTAAATATTGTATCTGATTATTCATAATAACGCAGGTTGTGTAGTGATAATCCATGGAATACATTCATTATCAGGAATAAAAGTACTGGACATCTAAAGCCAACCTTGTTTATCTCTTCGGCCATTGAGAGGCCACTGATGATGTCCCCAGCACCTGGCCCATTCCCGGCATCTGGAGACTGATGAGAGAGAGTGGACATTGCACAGCGCAATGCGTCATACAATGTGAACAGAAAATAAATATTACCCA